TCATAGCCATCGTTGACGCCGTTTTTATTCGATCATACGGTACCTATGAAACATTGGAAACCGACGTTATGCCACGATCCACGATGGTTGTTGCAGTTTACAACACAGCTTTTTAAGTTTTTAATGCCACTTTTTCACAATTATCACGGGTTTGAGTAAATAACATTTAAATTAAATTCACAAGATAGCAATAATTACCTTGAGAATGGACGCTTTAAATACTTTTCGGTATTTTTTCAATGAGGGCGATTTAAATTTTTAAAGATTTTATAATTTTTGAAGTTTCTGACTTTGACAAGGGAAAATTATTTCTGTTGTTGTTTGGGGGGTGGATGTTCTCTCTGGTTGTTCTTAGCATAACTTAGCCAATGCCGTTCTTTAAAAGATCAGTCTGGGAGCGAGATTTATGACGTCACGCTAGTTAGATACTACGGATCAGGGTTGGCATGATTTAAATCAAATAATTTAAATCATGATTTAAATCGTGATTTAAATCAAGTGATTTTTTAATTTTAATCATGTGATTTAAATCAAAAAATTAATTTTATTGAAACTTTATAATAAATCAAAAAATAACTGTAAAAGTTATAAAAATCTTTCCTAGAAAACTATAAAAAATATTTCTATAACAGATATAACAGATAATAAATCGAAAAATAATTGTAAATTTTATAAAACTATATAAAAATATCTATTTATCAATTTAAATGTTCAACCGATTTTTGAAGTAATTTCGTGTGAATCCATAAGACCACTAAACGCAGGGATTTTTTATTTTAAAATTTATGTATAAGTGACAAAAATTCGCTGTTCGAATACATATCTTTCGCAGACTAGTGTAGAAAATCTATAATCGTTGTCAAAAAATATGTTGTTTTATATTTTTTTGAAACGTTGGTATGTTTCCAAATTTCTTACCGACATTTTTATTTGCAGTAAGTACTTTACACTTTGACATTAGATAATACTAATTTCATTTTCGACTAGACTATTTCCGAACAATAGTGTATTGTTTTATTAAGAGTAGAAATTATACTTTTTTTGACGATGCTGAACATTTGAAGGACCATCGTAAAGCTATTCCGACGTTACAAAGAGGCACAAAAAGTACATTTTTACTCCGAATAAAACACAACATTTTTAAAACGTTACAAATAATTTTTTAATCAATTTCAAACATTGCAAATAATACGAACAGTAATCGAGAAACAATTTGTACACTCGTTGAATTTGACATTTAATATCAGTTTAATAATATATTTTTGTACTTTTGTGCTTAGGCATAACAGTGATTTACTTTTATGCCTAGCCGTTAAAATGGCAAAAATTAATACTTTTGAGACGTTTGAAAAAAAAATCCTTTTGATCTGAAGCGAGCGACTTTTTTTGCGGAATATATTGATGATGTGGAAAAATGACACGCGCCGTAGAATTGTTAATGTTATCGGTATCGCTGAGGGTTATAAAGATTTAGCCATTTAGGATAGAACTTTAATTGGAAATAAGTCCTAGTCATTTGGAAATCCGATTTAAATATTGTTTTGAATTAAAATAAAAAAAATCTGATTTAAATCAAAAAAATCCGATTTAAATTACAAAAATCTGATTTTTTTGATTTTTTTTTTAAAAATCATGATTTTTCCAACCCTGCTACGGATTAATAAATATGTTGTAGAATACATGGAAAACATAATTATTCCTCATATTTTTGGTTTGTATTTTAAAAATGATATAGTTTACATGAAATATACATAATATACAGTTAATAAATACAATATATTATATACTTATTTATAGTAATAAATACTTAGGCAAATAAACTATGAACCATACAAATGCCGCAAATGTTTTACAATATACAGATAATGAATAGGTACATAAGATAATGGGTAAAATGTGAAATATATTTTAAATTTTAGGGTTTGAAAATCGATCTAATTTAACAATAAAACATTCAATATCTACTAATAGTGATGTATTATTATTTGCATTCACAAAATTTATATGTATATTTTGCAAGTATCAATGTTCGAAAAATTATATTTGCAAATAATACAATATCATAGAAAAAAAGGTGTCAGCGATGGCTATGAAATGAAGATCGCTGTCATTTTATATGTAAAATTATTCTAAAATTTTTGATTTTCTTGCGATTTAGGTTCGGGAAAAACGCTGATTGAGTTTTCATTTGGTTTTTCATTATTTTTATTTGGTTTAAAAAAAACGTTTCGGCTAACATTATAGCCTTCATCAGTGTTGGGTCATATCAAAAAAATAGTGTGGAATATAATCCAAAAAATTACATATAAAATATTCACACCACACACCAAATAATGTTTACTGCAATTAATAAACTACTATAAACTTGTCAAAAGATGACCACATATTTTTTAAAATTATTATTGACACTAAAACTATCTACATTTTATTTAACACTAAAACTATCTACATTGACTATGGAGTACGATTTCAGCCATAGTTAATGTTGATTGTTTTAGTGTTAAGAATAAAAATTTTAAAAAATATGTGGTCATCTTTTGACAAGTTTATATTAGTTTATTAATTACAGTAACATTATGTGGTGTGTGGTGTGAATATTTTATATGTAATTTTTTGGATTATATTCGACACTATTTTTTTCATACACAACACTGATGAAGGCTATAATATTAGCCAAAACGTTTTTTTTTAACCAAATAAAAATAATGAAAGACCAAATTAAAACTTAATCAGCGTTTTTCCCGAACTTAAATCCCAAGAAAATCAAAAATTTTAGAATATTTAAAAACAAGGTTCAAGAATATAAAATTTTCCAAGAATGTAAAATTTTAGTTAATTATTTTATGTGTAAAATTATTTAGGGAATGTCATCGATGTTCATTTCCAAGCCAACTAGACTTCGTTTTTTTCGATTATACGGTATAATTCTTACATAAAATGTAAATAACATTAGACCAATTAAAACAAAGAAATATGAATTTCTTATTATTTTTAGTAACACCTTTATCATTAAAACTTAATTTTGTATTGCAAATATCCCAATTTATTGACTATACAACACTATTCATTAAAAATTACTGAACAAAAATATGTTATGCCTTACATACATTATATTATCAAACAAAAACACATTCTTCTTTTAAACTTTATCATTCTTGTCTTTACAAAAATCTTTTTTAATTTTGAACTCAAATTAATCTTTTTCATGATCTTTAATACGCATATTCTTTATTTTTCCCTAGATCATAATACCTACTTACGTGTTTATCTTACGTATTTGAATCTATCGAAGCTGAACCAACAACACTTGGGAGTGGAGATTCCACAATATGAATAAAATAAACATAATTGTCCAGTTTTTTTTAATATCGTCCTGGGAGAATATTATTTTTAAATATATTAACGATATTTTCAATAGAATTATCTTGATTTATAACTCGTACCCACTTTTCTTGCTCTTCCGGACATTTTTCGGACACAGGAACACAACAAAGATGAGGCATAGCACCAAAAACATACTCCACTTAAGCTTTATTGATGAGTTGTTAGAGTCTTAAAAAGCGCACACAAAAATCATGATAAATAAAAAAACTTATGGAAACTTTTAGCTTAAAGCACTTAACAAAACTTGTAATATTTCGTGTTTTTTTATGAGAAATAGAGTGACCATATATCTGGTAGTAGTTTATGTCACTTAAGCATCAAAATAATTAGTTTTTTGCACTACAATAACAAATAATACCAAATATCAACCGACAAAATATGAACACAGAATCTAACCCAATATCTAAGTATGTACAGCTGATGAAGTAAACAAAAGTTCGCTCCCAGACTGATCTTTTAAAGAACGGCAGTGGCTTAGCGTACAAACGCGATCTGCCGCTAAATTGTTTTAAAACAATTTCGCGACCCTAAATTTTGACGGGCTTTCCAATCTAAATTTATTTCCATTATCTATATTATTTACTGTGTCTAAAAAACACAATTAAAATTAATATAATATCCTAGCAACAGCTTGCGGTAATCAGTGGTATCCATAGAGAAAGTCTAATGTTTAGCTTATAAAACAATAATTTTATCTTAAATCCATCTAAACACATTTTCCCTTGACGGATGATAATCAAAATCCAAAATGACATTTCCTCGCAAATTTTGAAGTATAATTAGTGGAAAAGTTAAAAGTTTGGTAACTTTTTCCACTAATTGAAAATTCCTACCACTAATTTTGACGTTGTTTATATTATGCTTACATTCAAATTAGAGGAACAAACTTCTACGCTAATTGAAACCACTAATTTTAACTTTACTCTTTCGTTGACTCACCCTGTAAAGTACGTCTACTGGATCTGTGTCTATGAAAGGAATGTGAACAAAAAATCTTTAAATAAACAGCAATATATTTTATACGTGGACTTGACGAATATGTCACCGCAAATCACTCCGCTCACTCATTTATTGGGTTTATTTGCAAATTTGTCGAATTTTTATTGATGGGACGCGTCATGTATTTTTTTACGAAAAACATCGAGAGCATATCGTTTCCCTCTTTACAGATGCCCCGTAGCTACATAACGGATAGACGCACTGTAGGTACTTTATATTTCTTTAGTCGTATAATTCATATTTATAAATTATTTTTGATAAGTATAAAGCCAATACGACATTAAAAAATGAAACTATTAAATGATTTTTGGCCCCCATATGATCAATTTGGCATTACAAATTGAATTTGATGGTTATTCCAATCAGTGGCGGATACATAGGGACCCCCCCTAAGATCTATAAGTTGAGTTGAATATTAGGCTTTTGGATTAAAAATGGCGCCCTAAAAATCCATATTCTACATTATTTTATATTTGGCCCACCCCCCTAAAATAACTTCCTGTATCCGCCCCTGATTCCAATCAAGACCGGATGATTTTTTTGATTAATTTAGTATTTTTTCATTCATAACTCCTAAGGGATAGGCTATTGAAAATGAAGAATTTGCATCATTTTAATAAGTTTCAGATAATTTTTTCTGTAAAATAAAATGGGGAACTTTTATTTATTGTTTATAAAATTCACATAGGGTTTCCTATTCTAGACCGGTGCGGCGATGCAACAAACGGTATATAAACTGTTATTTATATATTGTATACCTATATAGAAAAAATTGTGGTAGAATTTCGCATTTTTTATGGAATATATCCTTTGTCCACACAGTGTTTCACAATAAAAGCCAGCTTTTCATTTCTGTCTTTATTAAATTCGGGAAGAATCCAAACATCTTCCAAAGGAACCGCATCTTCGCCCTACAACAACATTAATATTTATATACAATTTACCATAGTGAGTGGCTAAAGGTTCGTTTTTGGATCAATCTTAGGCTTGGCACATTTAACCGATTTTTAAAACTCCGACAGCAGCGTTCGGTACGGCAGAAATCACAACTGTCCAATTAACTTTATTTCACGTTTAACTGTAATTCAATATAGGTCTAACAGTATTTGTATTAAAATATTGCCACAAGATTTAAAAATCACTCTAAAACTTAAAATAAATGATATATTCTAGAAAAAACTTCCAGGTTCAAGCTTTAACGGTGACAAATTTATTCATAACTCTTCAAATTTGTCTTACCAACAAAACACTTAAAGTTTCAAGAGGTGTATCTTATCTTTAAGTAATTTTTTATAGTTTGTATTGTTTTCATACAAGTTTTTGGACATTCTGGAAAAATGATCTCGGAAATCCGGACTTCGTCGAAAAGAAATTATAAATTTATTTAGGTATGTGTTTCCTTAACGAGAGAATACCTGACAGTGAGAGTTTTTGTCTCTTGTTTTAATTCACCGGTAAATTGTATTTTCTGTCATTTTTAGATGTCATCTGCCGGTATTTTTCCCTGATTCGTTGGACAGACGGACTTTAAAGGGGAAATCAAAGACAGTTGACCTGTGACAGTGCCCTTGTGAGCAGTACTATTGATATTTGTACTGCATACGTTACATGACGCCGCAATGGCATCAGAATTGGATTATTATTTTTAAAAGGAGAGAAACTTTGAGCACTTTATTACACACTTTTATTTTTCCATTATTAAATGCTTAATTTTATTGGTAAAATTGGTATACATTATATACCTGTGGTGAACCGGTTTTAGAAAATAAATTAAAACCTCTTAATAATTTTTTTAGTTAAATCAGGAAATATAATTGTTTTTGTCATCTTAAATTTGTCTTAATTTTATGTATGTATAGTATTTTATAACAAATATTAATTCAGAAACAATTTTATAACATAAGTAAAAAACTACGAGTTTAAAATTAAAACTCACTTGTTGGGTAAATCCAACAAAAAGAAACAACCAGATTGGTTTAACGAAAATCATCCACATATATAGGCTTTGTTGGAACAAAAGCCCCATATAGCACATCCAGCAGTCACTGCAAATCTTGGTTGGTGAACAACTTTAAAACAGCAAGCAACATGCTTTGAAGAAACTTGCGCCAACTAGAGGATAACTGGTGGTCACAAAAAGCTAATCATATTCAAGAGTCGCACGTCACGACTACCGTAAATTCTACCAGGCTGTAAAAGAAGTATACGGCCCAACCAAGAAGGTAGCCCAACCAAGGCACAAAATGGTGAACTCCTAAAAGAGGAAGAGCAAATTAGAAACCGTTGGAAAGAGATATACAGCCATATCCTTAACCAAGAAAACAACCCCAAGATAGAAATGGAAGCACTAAACATAATACTTCAGTATAACAGTCTTGAAGTATTAGATATCCCAATAACAGAACAGGAGATAACGGCCTCCATAAAACAGTTTAAAACAACAAATCACCTGGCGTTAGGTGCATAGAGAAGGTTTCGAATGTTCTCGTATGTACTACTCCATTCCAGTGAAACTCGTTTTTTCTCGAACGTTCGAATGAATCATTACGGTGTCTATTCTTTAATGCGATTTTAAGGTCATCTGAGGGCGGACATATAGTTAGGCTAGGTCGAGTCCACACGGGTCCGGAACAATAGTGAATATATTTAAGAAAAGAGGAAGTGCATCAGACTGCGCAAACACCGAGGCATTTCACTACTGGCCATCGGATGAAAAATTCTTGCAAAAATTATGTCAAACCGCCTGCACCGACACATAGAAAAAAATCCTCCTAGAATCGCAAACGGGGTTTCGCACCACCGCGGTACGGTCGCGTCGATTCCATATTGTCCCTCCACCAACTACAGGAAAAACTAAAAGAGCAGCAGAGTAAATTTTGTGGTGCATTCATTGATCTAACAAAATCCTTCGACTCTGTGAACAGAGATTCATTCTGGGTAATTATAAAAAAATTCGGAGTACCCAATAAATTTTTTACAATGTGTAAAGGACTCCATGACAACAACAAGTAAAGAGTGTTAAATCATGGATCACTGAGTGATTCCGTCCTAACAAATACAGGAGTTAGGCAGGGATGTGTCTTAGCGCCTCTCCTATTCAACATATCCATGGCAGCGCTCTCCATTATAGTGGACAGCAAACTGCAGGAAAGAGGATTGGGCATTAGATACGGATACGACGGCGTTCTGTTCAACATAAAAAGACTCAGGGCAAAAACACGTACAAAATTCATCACAGAAGTTCAATACGCTGATGACTGCGCTCTAGTTACAAAAACGTTACAGCAATTACAAGAAATGTTGAACACGTATAAACGATAAAACTAAAATCATGTGCACTCCCTTAGATCACAACAATGCTATAAAAATGGGAGAAGAACTATTGGAACATGCAGTGGAATTTAACTACCTCGGCAGTTTGATTTCGGAAAAGACCAATATCGACTCTGAAATTCAGCACAGGATTAGCAGCGTCTCAACAATATTCTGGAAATTAAAAGACAGGGTTTTACACTCATGACTTGACCACAAAAACGAAACTTGCAGTGTACCGAGCAATAATAATCCCCACCATGTTATATGAACAACAGAGACACCTTGGACAACTCTGAAGAATTCAAATGGTTCCACCATGTCTCAAACGGATTGGTCCTTGAAAAAGTTAGCTGCGAGAGCGTTGAAGTCATGATTACAAAATGCCGCTTAAGATGGGCTGGTCACGTATGCAGAATGCAAGAAAACCGCTTTAAATCTCTGCTTTACGGTGAGCTTTTATACGGTAAGAGGACACCAGGTGAACAACGCAAAAGGTACAAGGATATTCTCCACAAAAACTTAAAGGGGATAAACATCCAGAATGAGTGGGATATAGTTACCCCACAACTCTAGTGAGTTTGTAAGGAGAATTTTAAACTCTGTTAAAAGCGACAACCAAAAAGTAAAGAGGCAACAGAGCAAAGATTTTTGAATGTCCGGAGTGCGGAAGAGAGATAACATCACGTATCGGACTTTTCAGTTATAGAAAAGCTCATGAAAGAAAACACCTTGCCATCTTTTGATGCATGTCAAATACCCGTCAGTGAGTAATGGCAGTAGTATGTAGTATGTAATATGTAAATCAGAGTAAAACTGTTCATTCCCGATATTCAGTCTCCAGTGAATAATAAAAGTAGTGCGCCATAAAGTGAAAATTCCATGGCAGTAGTGTTTGCGAAGGTTTGAGCAGTTGTATAATTTGACTTTGTGAAAGCAAATTAAGTTTTAAAAAGTCAATTCTTGTGTTTAGATAAAAAGTAAAAACTAGAAATGAAAATAATAATTTCTCTGCTCAAACTGAAATGAAACAAATAGATAATATTAACTTATAGTCCAATTTTTACATTTTACTAAATTACTTGTGTTTACAAATATTTATTTTTATTTCTATTAAAAAGAATTAAAAGTTTGTATAAGCATTAGAGCATAGAATAATTAAGAATAAATAAATTCCTTTAGAGACAAACGCCAATAAACATAATTAAAAATTCCCTTTCGAGATAAAAACCCCATCATCTTTACTGATACATAAAACCAACAGAAATATAAGAAGATAATAATATATACCTACAATAATTAGCACGCGCTAAACTCTCTCCATCGAGTTAGGGAAGATTTTGACAGATGCCATTCAAAAAATGACAGAAAATACAATTTACTTGGGAATTAAATTGACAGGCACAACTGTTACTCTATGGATTGTTTGGAATACTTATTTTCATAAAGCGCAAGTAATCTTAACAAAATAAAGAAAAAATAATTTACAGTTTACATTGACGAGTGCACAGAAATAAAAAAAATGGACCAGATAAATATGGAATATTTCGAACAATGTCGCTTTAGTAAAAAAATATGCGACATCGTACCGATTAAAATATTCAACAAAGTTTAAGTTGTTTTCACAGTTAGACTTTAAACATTTTTTCAAATTCCGGCCGGACCACCTCGGACCGATTTACGAATCTCAACCTTATTCGGCGCGCCGTATTTCGCGTAACATTTAAAAAAGAAACTCACTCCACAAAGCAATCAAAACACGCCTTAGGCATGTTTTGACTGCTATTACCTAGACCAACCTTTCACTATACCTCGACATTTGTGAAAAAAGTCTATATTTGTGGAATTCGAATCATATGGACCTCTAGATCCGTATGGTATATACAGGGTGATTCTCTAACCTGGGAATAAATTCAGTGAACGAAACATTTGTTGGGTAATTGGGTAATTGAAAGGTAGATTAAGTTAACGAAATTTGTTTACAAAAAAAAACACTGCACCGTTTAATAAACTTAATAGACCTATCAGTTATGGGGGGTCCACCACATTATTTTCGGAAATATATGTTTGGAGAGAAATCTTTGTATATAATTCAGAACTGGAGGATATAATAGGTTGATAAAGAAAAATAATTTCAGTTAAAAGTATTACCTTCAGCGTATCAATGTCGACTACCTCATCGTCGTTGAGCATGGCCATCACGCTACAGTCTAAAACCCTTGCCACTCCAACTAATGCGTGTTTTTCTAGACACTTAGTCATTTCATCTAAAGTAATAAAATCTTTAGAACCTCCGAGTTCCTCAAAACGGCTCATAAGCACCTGGTGATAATGTCCAATCAGGTTATCCCATTCCGTCAATAACATATCGCTCGGTACGCAGCAGTATAGAAAATGAAGTAAGTCGTTCGTGAATGTCGAGTACCTTTATAAAATTGAAAGAAAATAAACAATATTTTGTTGTTAAAGGTTTGTCGTAATCTTACCTAGCAAGCTGAAAATCAATTAAAATGCACGTTAGTTTGCCTTCAGATGAGTTTAAAAGAAAATTTGGCAACCAAGTGTCTCCCTGAGTAATTACACAGTACTTGTTATCAACTTTACATGCTTTACATGCGTCTCTAAAATTTGTAAATATTTCTTAATTGAAACGTTCTGCTTCTTTATTAATTCGAAATTCAAAATAAAATAATTGGTATTTCTTTAACTGGATAAAATTCATACATAAATAGCATATTTACACAATTCATCAAAAAAATCCTGGTAAAGAAAATTAACACAGAAAATTAATACTCTACTGATAAAAATAAAACAAGTTCCTATTAGAGCATAATGGGCATTTGATGCCATAAAATGCTTCGTAAATAAAAATAGTATATTTTGTTTATTTTTAAGACCATTGGTAAACCGTCTTTTTTAAAATTAGGTACTCTTACACACTTGCGTCTAGCCGTACCGTGCAACTCTCCAACTCCAACCCACAGTTCCTACCAAATTTAAACCGTGGGTTATTTTCTTATCTTTTATTATAAACTTGTAACTTTTGAGAGTAAGTTCTTAAGTAATAGTACCATAATTTAGTCTAAATTTCAAAAACGTAAAAATTATAATAACATAGGGAAATTAAAATAACTTTGGTTGTACATCATAATACGACCACCAGTAAACTCCATAAGACGACGCATATGGTGTCATTGATGACGTGCACCAAAAGTTGTTTTAATTTTCCTTTATATAACGGTTCTACAAAATCGATCGGGTATTTCGCGTGCAATCTATTGACAAAAAAACTTACACTAGAGACTAACAACGCAATGAAAATACTCCTAACCAACGCAATCAAAATACAAATAAATAAAAACAGCTTTAAAAAATAAAAACAGCCGTTTTGCCGTTCTTTGCGTCTAGCCGTTCCAATACGCATGCGTCGGAACTGTGGTTTGAGGGTGAAGAGTTGCACGATACGGCTAGACGCAAATTTCTAATCTCTTACACACCTTTTAATGCCAAAGCGAATGGCGATAGTGTAAAATACTCAACAGCGCTGAAAGGACACTTTCCATTGCAGAGAGTACTACTGGTGGTACTTCTTTTATCCTCATAGATACAGTAATTTCAACAAATGAGAATTGTTGTCGAAACGGTAAACGGTTTTCAAAATATTTGCGTTTAAAGGTTCCGGTGCATCAATTTTAGTATTAGCGAAATCAGGAGATTAATTTATTTAAAATTTCTTTACATTCACCATTTGACTAATACTGAAATCGATGCATCGTCACCTTTAAACGCAAATATCTTGAAAATCGTTTACCGTTTCGAACGAAACGAAAAGCAGCTTTTTTACCTAAAAAAGTTGTAGCTTTTTATGTCATTTGTTGAAATTACTGTATCTATAAGGATAAAGTTAATCTCTACTCTAAAGAAAAGTACCCTTTCAGGGCTGTTACACGATTTATTTACATGATCGCCATTAACTTTGGCATCAAAATATGTGTAAGAGTACCAAATTTCTCAAAAGAAAAACGGTTTACCAAATATTTTTTAAAAATAAAGATAATATACAGGGTCGTCCGAATTGTATTCCGGAAACTTTGGCAGCATATTCTGCAGATAAAAATAATTAAAAATGTTCGTATAAATGTATGTACTAAAATGCTTAGTTTCGGAGATACAGGGTGTAGAATTTTAATTTTTGTTTAGATTTTTCCCAAATAATTTCAGAAGTAACTACTTTCAGAATATTTGGATGAAAATTGATGTCTGGAAGTTTTTTGACATGAGAAACTTGATTTTGATGTCAATATGACTCCTACTTGTAGAGGGCGCCACCTACATATATTTTAACTGGTTTGAAGTGTAATAACTTTTCGTCCGTACCTGTATAAAACTACTGAGTAAAACAACGTCGCGTCCGCCCCATTGAACTCGAACCCCGATGCTCAGCGGACGCTAGCGCAACGCCAAACGCGACGCTGTCTGCCTGAACGGTCTAATTTAAGTTAAGTGAATTGTTTCCATTTCGACACGCGGACGCGACGCAAATGCGACGCGACGCAATGCGACGCGACGCTCGACGCTCTCAGCCTGAATGGACCTTAATTGTTCTCGAGATATTTGGAATCGAAATTATCAATACCTCTCATCATTGACATAAATTAAACATGTTTACTAAACAGTTATTAGACTGAAATCATAAATTTCAAATGTTTTTGTGGCAAAAGTTCAACAGAAACTGTTTTATCATAATTTTTTCCTAGAAATATTTATGATTAATTTAAAAAAATAAAAAATTTCCAAATTTATTATTTCAGTCAAATAACTATCTACTCAATGTCTTTATTTTTTTCTTTATTTTTCGTCAATAATGACATGTATTCACTATTTCCATTCTAAATATCTTGAGAACGATTGCTTGTAGCGATTTTTACCAAGAGACATTTTTTACGTAAAAAGTCACGAAAATGTATATTTTTTCACTCGGTAGTTTTATACAGGTACGGACGAAAAGTTATTACTCTTCAAAACAGTTAAAACACATGTAGATGGTGCTCCCCTAGAAATAGGTATCATATAGATATCAAAATCCAAATTTCTCATGTCAAAAAACTTCCAGACACGAATTTTCATCCAAATATTGACGTTACCTCAGAAATTATTTGGAAAAAATCGAAATAAAATTGAAACTTCTACACCCTGTATCTCCGAAACTAAGCATTTTAGGACATACATTTATTCGAACTTTTTTAGTTGTTTTTATCTGCAAAATATCCTGCCGAAGTTTCCGGAATACAGTTCGGACCACCCTGTATGTTATGTTTTTTCAAGGGTTGTAATTTCTTCGGGAAGCATTTTCAATGGAATTTTTTTATTTTTATCTGTAGAATCACCCACCAAAGTTAGATACACTATTTTTTTGAGACCCTGTATACTACTATATTTTATGTATGTATATTGACTTGGATGTGCAGTTTCACATGGGTCGCGTATACTCTCCGTCCGGATGATTTCGTCCGACGGCTATCTTGAAATAATACACGCGGACGGTCCGCGAGTACGCTCCGCTCCATCTGAAAGCGCTGTAAGTGAACTCTGCCTCTTTTTTTCTCGATAATACGGTATTTTCTTATATTCTTATTTTTATCATATACATCAGGGTGGCCATTAAGGCGAGTGAGTCCAATATCGTCGTCGTTGGAGAAGATACGATAAAAAGTTTTATACAAATGTTGTATGGTTTATAAAGGGGTATATTCTCAAAATATTTTGTTGTATACAGGGTGTCCCAAAAATATGATAAAGTTTTAATTTTTTTAAATTGCAACTCCCATTTTTCTGTGCAGATTTGGACTCGGCGTAAAATTCTGCATACAGTACGCTACTTTTATTTCCAGCCTTATGCGGTGCACAGTGATAGAAAATGGATTTCTGAAGTTCCAAAATTCAAATTTCTTATTGGCTTAAATCTTTTACAAAATTATATATTATCCTTCAAAGAAAGCTAATAAACAGTGCTACACAAATCCCAGTCGCCCTGACTAAGAAACACTTGCACTCAACGTTGATCGAAAGTCGAAACAGTTAATACGCCGTTTAGAGAAATTCTGATCTCTGTTTCGATTGCAGTCTTAACAGTTTCGTTAAATTAATATTTGTGTGTTTTGATTTCTCAAAATCATGCTGCATATTTCTGGAGATATGTAATTTGTGTTTTACATAAAATTATGATGTTTAGTATGAAAGATACTTTAGGACGCTCAATTAAAATGTACATTGTAAATTAAAGAATAATGCGAAAACGTTGTTGCATAACAAGGTAGAACTTCTTTGTGCCTTGTTACGACTTTCAAATACTAACATCATTTTTTTCTCCACCTTTTTTCCTCCTAAATAAAGCAGAAAACTTTTGCCACCAGACGCCCCTTCTCTTTTAATTTGTATTTTTATAGACAATTTCGCGACGATCAAGCGTATCGACTTTTTTCAAGTTTTTAAATCGAAGGGCCCTTTACACCCTAGGACACTTAACAGCCAACAAATACTCTTGGATTATGTTTTACATATTGTTGGAAGTGAGGATCTCTCAGTTGAAGGCAAAAAACTTAGTTGTTAACACTATTGATTATTTTACAAAGGAACTGCATGAAAAGTGGAACAAATCAAAACGTTATGTACAAAACAATTCAAAATTTCATATTGAAGTCATTTCCAGAGGATACAATCAGAAAAGTCGATTTCGAAACGGTATTTTTTTGTAGCCATGCAGTTTCTTGACAGTTTGTCAGGTTTCCAATGATTCAATTGTGCTATACTTTGAATATCAAATTACTTGAGCTAATCCAGTAATAAATTCCATATAAAAAAATTTCATAGAAGAACCAGCCTTGGAGCCAGGGCTAAAAATATGCATTTTCCACTTTTTATAATTGTCCCAAGTTTTGTAGATAGCCTTAAAATATCATTTTAAACACTTTTTTCCAATTTTTTTTTTCGATATTTTGCCATCTAACCCCACTTTTCGGGTTTTCATAGCGGTTTTTTTTTAATTTGCCGCCATGACAGTGATCACGTGACTGATGTTATAATGACATTTAAAGTTGCTAAACACGCAAAAGCGATCCCTCATACAATTTTTTTTATTTTATTTCATTTATACATATGTAGCCAACATTATGGTAGACACTGTATAGGTAGACAAAGAGGGTGAAATGTCGATTTTCAGTTATTTGCATCTTAAAAACAGTTGAAAATAGGTATAAAACATAAAAAATGTAGGTGTTTCCATTAAAATAAAGAAGTTATCTGGCATAACTCATTTTTTGGGACACCCTGTATACATTAAAATATCACTAAAAAAAATGGCTTACAAAATCTATAATCGACGTGTCCGAGCGTTTTTTCGAAAAAAAGAACATTGTTTTTTTTTAGATTCTCACTGTGAAAATAAATAAACAATCGTATATAGGGCACTCGTATCTATAGTTATTATCTATATATTATCTATAGTTAGTAAAAAAACTTTTGCAACATCATTTGTAAATTAGCTTATACCTTGATTTATAACGCCGAAAAAAACACTTACATAACATAAATATTTTTGGAATCATAGAATTGCATTTTGAATCACTGTGCGGTGTTGCCATTACGTTTCATATTTACTGAAACCTTAGTTAAAAACGCTATAACGAAAAGTGGTTAAAAACTAGTTTGAATTTAGTTAACTAATACTTTTTTTTTGATGAGGTGGGAAAAAATCTTGCATAGACACCAATACCAACAATGTTGTATGATATTTGGTAGTGTCGGATTCTTACCGACTAAAAAAACCCTCCTCCCTTCGTTTTGCCTTCTATGGCCGGTAACCGCTCTCGCATTTCTTCAGTGCATTAGGCTGTCTAAAGAAGATGTTCTTTTTCTTTGGTCTCTATTATTTCTCTGGCAGTCCTATATGCTATATTCTGTGCTCATGACTAGACTTTCCATCATGTTAGAAATATTAAATGTAAGTCCTGAGCGTATTTGGAATTGATGTCTTTGTTGACTTGTCACGCGTTTTGGCCTTAGCTCGGCTCTTTTAAATTAAAAAAAAAAGAAAAAAAAAATTTAGAAAAGAAGTAATAGATCTTTTCCGTTTGTAGAGATACTGTCTAAAACACCCGTGTCCTGAAAGTGCTTGCGTTAAATAATAGTCCACTTCACCTTTCGAGTTTAGCCATGTCTCAATGTCTGGGATAAGCTTGTGTGTCCAGCGTCCGTACTTTCCGTTGTCCCATTTTTGCTGCCAGCGTTTCACTAAGTTCTTTCGGGCTTCATCTTTTGCAATACCCTCATAAACTTCAAGCCTTTCTATTATTTGCAGTTCTATGGGAGGAATTTTTGATATTACATTTACGGCCTCTCTCGATATTGACCGATACGCACATGCAACTCGGATGCATGCAGTTCTTTGAATCCTACCTAGTTTTTGCACAAGTCTTTTATTTTCTGTCACTTTGTGCCACGCTGGAGCCGCATACAGAATTTGTGAGTGCGCCACACCCATAAGAACCCTCCTTCTAGACGATTTTGGTCCTCCGATATTTGGTAAAAGTCGGCTTAATAAACGTGTGGTGCCCTCGACCTTTTGTATAGTTTTATTAATATGCTCGGCAAAGGTTCTTTTTGTGTCCAGCCATACGCCTAAATATTTAATAACTTGTTTTGGAATAACTATAGTGTCTGCTATCTGAAACGTTATAGGAGATAACTTTCTTTTAGTGGTTAGAAGAACAGCTTCGATCTTTTTCGGGGCCAATTTCAAGTTTCTGCTAAGCAGCCATTTACATGTTCTGAGCAGCGAGGTATTAACAACATCCATTAATATACATTCATTTTTGGCTACTGCTACCATAGCCACGTCATCTGCAAACCCTATTAATGTAACGCCTTCAGGCATTTCTACTTTAAGCAAATCATCATATAAAATGTTCCACAATGTGGGACCCAAAACTGAGCCTTGCGGAACACCACTATTTATGGTTAGCGTTTTTGTAATATTTTCAGCTTCCATTTGTATTGACCGATCTGAAAGATATGATGATATGATTTTAATCAAGTTCTTCTCGATGCCTCTTCTATCTAGTGCCTCTAGGATTTGTTGCCATGAGGCGCTATTGAATGCATTTTGCACATCAAGGGTGATAACTGCACAGATTCTTCTGTTCTGAGGAGCAAAGTTTGCAGCATCATCTGCAATTTTGAGTACTTCACGTATGGCATCAACAGTTTGTCGACCCTTTCTAAAGCCGTACTGTTTTTCGGAGAGACTTTTTTCGGGCTGCGAGAGTTCTTCTTTTAGCTTTCCCAATATCAGATGTTCGTAGAGCTTTCCCTCTACGTCCAGTAAGCTAATGGGTCTGTATGCTGTTGGATCATGAATTTCTTTGTTTATTTAAGTAATAAAATAAGTATTAGTTAACTAAAAACTTATTTTAGTTTGGTTTGGTTGTGAATAAACCCGCGCAGGAAAATTTACATTATCCTATACAGAGCAATTTTTGTAGCGTCACCAACATCGGATTATTTAAAATGCTATATCTCAATTTATTTAAATGTAACACTCTGTACACTATTTTATTTTCGATGCAGAATTGAAAAATGAAGATCTTTTGTATTTACAGTTTTCATAAATTTTTAGCGGTTTTGCAGATATTTGCTGTATTATATTACATTATTACATATGACTTTTTCAACAGTAAATTTTTATCAACGCCACCTAATGATCTTTGTCTAATATTTAACCTTTGAAAATCCCGTATGTAATATGATACAGGGTGTCCCAGAAATAAGTTCAAGTATTTTAAGGGGTGGTGGATCTCGATAGAAGAAACATATTTTCTCTTTATCGTTTTCCAAATAAGTCCAAAATAACGGAGTTATTTTACTTTGAAAATTTCCAAAAATAAATATTTTTGCTAAAATTTTGAGAAACACTGAATCTTTTCTGGATTTTCTTTCTTGTAAATTTAATCTACTACCTATATTATGAAATTATGTTTTTTAACTAAACACTAAAAAAAATTCCAAAATTTTTTTCAATAAATTCCGAATTTTGAATTTTTTTTTTCGCGAAAAAAACCTCATAGGCGTTTTTCTGGGGTTGAACTATACTGCCAGTTTATATACTTGCACTTATTTCTGGGACACACTGTATAGCGAATATCTGCAAAATCGTTAAAAATTTATGAAAACTGTAAATACAAAAAATAATATACAGGGTGTTACGTTTAAAAAAATAAAGATATAGCACTCTAAATAGAGCGATCTTGAAGACGCCGTAACAATAATGGAATAATGTAAATGTTCCTGTGCGACTTTATTCTATTATCCTTGTTGTTTAGGAAAATTTAGTTAAGTATTAATAACCTAGTAATTAATAATAAGTATTATAAGAACCTAAATCCCAAGAAAATCAAACTTAGAGTATTAAGAAAGTTATATTCACTCCAGTTTTTAATCACCAAATTTTTTACCCAAAATTTCAGTAAATATGAAATAGAATGGCAACACCACATAAGGCTGGAAATGAAAATAACGTACAATATGCAGAATTTTACGCTGAATCAAAATCTACAAAGGAAAACGGGTGTGCAAGTAAAAAAAAATAAATCTTATACAAAACAATATATTAAGAATATGCACTATTAGAAGTCATGCAACATCTGCATAAAACTTTTTCTATCTGCCAACGACGACGATATTGGACTTCCTCGCACTAATGGGCCACCCTGTATATCTCTAAAATTTTATGACCCCAAATAGTGAACTTTAATATAAAATATAATAAAAACTATCTATATATGATGACAGATGAAGAATTCATACCGAAAATTACATTAGGACTTTTTTAACTGCCAAGGTATGGTGTCTATTTTAACTGCCCGCTTCATCATTCACTTCATGATTTAGTGGAAAATTTAAAAAAATTATAAGTACTTAATAATAAATAAATATGTATTTTACCCAAAAAAATCTCCGGTAAACAGTTTTTGCAACTTTTCGTAATATTTTTCTGGTAATAAAGCTTTAACCGCTTTCATATACTGAGGGCCTATAGATTTGTACAAATAATTCTCATACCAAGACCGAAATTTTTCAGAAAAACCGCTTGCCTGTAAATATATTATGGGTTAATAAAAATATTCTTTTGTGAAATAGACATGCTTACCTCCAAGCTCTTTGCTATTTTTACAAATTCAGGGTTGTTTTGTTTTAGCGCAAGGGATAGCGCGTGAAATTTAGCCAGTGTGGTTAAAAATACACAGATTGATACAAAGCTAAAATTTTCATTTCGGCCAGCAGCTTTGAATCCTCGACAGGTCAAATCTTCTAAGACCAAAAAGTCGTTTTGGCCATCGCAATAACTACTTAAACATCTAAAATAGAAATAACTCGAACATTCTCTAAACCAAATATTCCATTTGAAATTTTTTTCGGCTTTCCATTTGAATAAATACAGCTTTTGTGTACTATTTCATTTTTCTATATTTGAATGAATCGCCTTGTATAATCCATATTACAAGTATCCGCCTATTTTGTAAAACTTGAGTAAATTTTCTATTTACTTTGTTTGTCGGAAGACATGTATGTCAATTACCGTGTATACCAATTATAGAAAATACTATCTATATACGAGTAGTCTTTGTTTGACCCTATGGTATCCCATCGGGAACTACGAGTACTTCAAATGAAATCTTGGTTTTATTGCAACTATTTTTGTCAACTTGTTTATTTTAAATAGAACACTTTGTGATAGAGTTTTTATTATCCCAGATATTCTAAATATATTTTTGTTACCATTATACAGGGTGAGTTTTTTACGATGCTATGGGTATCTTGAAAACTACTGGAGGTAGAGAGTCGGTTAAATGGGGAACGAATTGCAGTTTTGTTAGGTCAAAAATATGCGCCTTTCGGATTTTTGAAAAAGTTTATAGATTACTACGAGTAGATATTTCGAAAAAAACACAAATTTCGGCTACTTTAAAAATGTTCCCCGAAATTGTACTACTTAAACCATGGTTCGAAAATTAGTAGTAGTTTTAAAGCTATTTCAAATGCTAGCTTTCAATTTTCGATTTTCTGGCTATTGTATAATCTTTCAAAAAAATAATTTTTTTTATTTTTAATTTTTTATACATTTTTTACTTAAAATTTATAAAAAAAACCGTTAATATAACAATTTCAAGAGCACTTTTATCCTCTTTATACGTTATTATGTCTTTAAAAAATCCTAAAATTTAAAAACCGTTTTTTTATTTTTTCATTCCCTGTGTATGACTTTATGACAAACTTGGTTTACAAAAAATATAACTTTCGATTATACCGCTCTGATATAAACAAATTTCAAAAAAAATTTGAAATCTTGCTTTCTTATTTGTTTTCAAATTTTTCTGTAACCGTTGACTGTTTAATTATATTTGGTTGGATAGAGGGTGGATGGCACTCCTGCATGATGTTTTTTTTATGTGTCTCCTTTAGACCTGATACCGGTGTTGTCCCGTATCTATAATAGACTTTATTGCCTCCTTGGATTTGAGGTCAATTCCTATTGTGAGGACCTGGCCATGACCCTCCTCTCTCGAGTTTATGACTCACCAACTCGATGTCCTTACATTGAAGTTTCAGAACTTGGATAAGGCTCATCAGGTAGGTGGTGTCTTTCCCCTTGCTCCTCGGCAGAAAGACCGTGATGGTCGCTCCTTTAGAGATGTTTTCTCCCTTCACTGCTACCAGTTCCGGCCTTTGCCAATGTTTAAGCTTAGGTGCGATTTCCACCAACCAACTCGCCTATTCTTGAGATACATAATCTATGAGGATCATGCCCACCCGAAAGTGTATCCCCGAAAACGCAGCTGACCCACATTTTGTAGATCGTTATGTTGCGATCCGATCGCCACTACTTCGTCCAGTATAGCCTCTTCTAGAGACATTTTCACTTGTCCAGCAATAGCGGCAAAGCTGGTGATAGTCCCTGCTTGCCTTCCGGCATCGGACGGCTTTCTATCCTGGCTTTTTTCTCTCCATGCCGGAGAAGAGGTGAGAGATTCTCGCTCCCTCTCTTGCCCTTTGATGGAGATTAGTCAGATTGTTTCTTGGTTTCTTTACTCTCCCCTTTTCGGAGGAGTGTTTTCGATTTTGCTTCCTCTGGAGCAAGTCCTTCGTGGAGCACTCGGAGGTATCTCCGTGCTTCTGCTCCGCTAAGACCTACTCTCAGAGGATCGTCTAGCCCGCCTGGTTGACACAGGCCGGGTAGACGAAACAGTAGCTTGTGTCGCTTATTGGGTCTAGAGGTAGGCTCCCGACCCTTGCTGGAGAAAGTGTTATCTTGTGTGCCACTTGTGGAGGATGATCCCAAGCAAGGGTCAGCCGCCCCTCTTATAGTTACCTTTGGATTTGGCCCCTTGGAACTTTCATTTGTAATGTTACCAGTGTCGCTAGGGGGCTTCCCCACAGCTTCACCGGTGGTGTTTTTAAACTAGATCTCATAGTGTTCCCACGAGTTGCTAGGGATAGTCGGTCCACAGAGCCCCGCATGTAGAAGTAAGGGGTCCGCATGTAGAAGTAAGGGGTAAATACAATGTGGTGCCCTCTGATGCCCCAAGGTTGAGGTCAGTAATGGCTAGTTCTCTATCTCCACGCATCCTTTTGACCTGGTCCCGTATCGTAGGATTTAGGTTTTTGGTGAGGTTGTCTCCTCTTGGTCTACGCGGTTAAGCCAAGACCCCCCCCCACACCCACTACCCGCGAGACATGACCACAGTTAGTAGAGGGTGCCTGGTATGACGGACAGGGGTAGCCCCGTCCGGCATCGTTATATGTCTTGGTGCAATTTTCTGGCCACGACACTACAGCCAGGGACAAGACGATAAGTGAGATGCTTGTTAGACCAAGGGCTAGGGGGGATTCCCCCCAGCACCTGACCAGGAGCTTCCCCACCAACGACAAGGTCTTGCATCTCCTAGGAGAAGTGGATAGAACCTTACAATGGTCCCATGTAAACCGTGTTTCTAAAATGAATAGTTGTGACATGTTTAAGGTAAAATTTTTCAATTGTAGATTTCTTGATATACTTTGTGAAAAAAAACGTTTTTTTTTTCAATTTTTATCCTCTCTAATATGTCAACGTTAATACTCTATTAATATAATTTATTATTTTTTTTTATTCTATAATATTATTATAATTATAGACGTCAACACTAATAATCTATTTTTTTTTCGTTATATTTTATCTCTAGAAGGATGATTTGAATAAGAAATATTTGGTGCACATTACTGATGTCACTAAATAAACCCTTGTATAAAATTTTATATACTCCTAGATGTTATAGTAATGAATTTTCATACAGCAAACTTTCATACCTCATTCTACTCCCGAAGGGTATGAATTTCCTAAATTCGCTTATCCTAACTAATTAACACATTTCTTTTAAAGGAACGTTTGTGCAAATTTTTATGTGTATAATTCAGCTGTCACGAAATTTTATATACATTTTTACTAACTTTTAATTTATGAATTTCAAAAATCTCTTCTAAGTTTTATTAACTTAAGGTTCCATTCTTCAGAATTTCATACTTCTAGACCAATTAGCAAGGAATTTTCATACAACAAACTTTCCGTCACAATTTTACTCTAAGAGGATGCATTTCCTCAAATCGCTTTTGTCTAGCTAATAAACTAATGTCATTTAAAATAATCTTTGTGCAAATATTTATGTATCTAAATCGACTAATAATTGATTTCTGAAGGTATGTTGTAGGTGTTTTCAACACGTGTAACAATTTAATTTTGTCATATTAAATGTTGAGACCGAGACTTGGAGTCTTATTGCTTTGGCTTTTGTATTACAAACCAGGCCTCTTTAAGTTCAATGGACGCCTTTTTTAAATCTACAAATATATTATACCTTTCATGTAAAAAAAGAATCATCAAGATTGGTGACACGGTAGCTACGGAATGGATGGACAAAAAAATCCTTTGAGCTTTTATATTATATGGATTATGGATATAATGGATGGCTATTTTTTCAAAATAAAAATACAAAAACAAAAATTTTGAGAATTTAGTAGAACTGGCAACATTGGTTTTCGTTCTGTCTGATTTTAAAAAAACTGCTAATATTAAATTAAAATATTTTGAAATTCCGCGCTTAATCTCCATTTTTTTATTTAAAACTACTACTAAAAATGGTTACTTTTTGATAAAAAAAAGAAAAATGCCAAAAATCGTGTGCCCGGATGGTTCACAATTGGTCTTTCAAACACATAAGTTAATTAGTTAGAAAAGGCAAATTTAGGAAATGAGGCATGAAAGTTCGAAAATTCGTTCGGAAATGAGGCTGTTCGAAAATTAGTTATTATCACATCTAGAAGTATAAAAAATTTGAAAAAGTTTTTTAGTGACATTTTTTAGTAATAAGAACGATTTTTTTATAATCATTCACTAGGGGTAAAAAATAACGTATATAAAGAGAGTAACAATGCTCTTAAAGTAATTATATTGACGCCTTTTCCACATTTCAGGTGAACATTTAAAAACTAAATAAAATATCTTTTAAACTATTAATCTTCGAATCATAGTTTAAATAGTGCAATTGTAAGACTCACTAGATCTATCCATAAAGGGGTAAACGACCATTTAAAATATGCACATTTGTATAAAGAACCAAGACTATGTAAAAATGCTCCTAAAATCTTATATTGACACCTTTCATATATTTCAAGTAAAAAAAAACCCAAAGGAGATGCAAGGACCATGCTAGGTTTAACGCGGACGAAGTCCAAGGTTATTAAAAGATTATTTTATCGGAAACGTCATCTGCTACGTCACAGGTATGCTACCGCTCATAGATAAAGGGATAAAAACTGCCGACAGTCCGACAGTGCATTTCCGAAACGATATTCATTGTGTACGGCGCGGCGCCGGCGTCCATAGTTTTCAGTTGTTTGATGTTTGTTTTCTTTATTACATTGCCCATTTATCTCTCTTTGTCCGTTGCATTTTATTTTTATTACTTTATCTATGATTTTATACGTTCTATATCATACCTGTGACGTAGTTGCCTCTTCGCTCCTATTGGCCCAAAAGTTACTAGGTTACCTGTTTAATATAATAATCTTGGACGAAGTCGCTGGAAAAAGCTAGTAATAGACTCATCGTTACGGAAAACGGACACCACAAGTTTTATATATAGTGTCCTAGTGGACTGATTTTTACGATTTTTCAAGTAATTTGTAGCTATATTATTTGAATTTTTAGTATCTCTTTCTAAATTTAAAATAAAAGCTACTATCTGTTATTTATCAGAGGAAAAACAAAATGTTGATATTTTGGTAAAAGTCTGAAACGCCCTGTAGAGTACGTTCACAAAGTAAGGAATTTAAAAATCATTTTGTCATCTAGGTGTATCTATCATCTCAATAGCTTTATTTTTTTTTTGTTCATCTCTATAGCTTTATTTTTTTTTGGAGATATTCGCTTATGAAGAAGACACTAACATTTTTTCCAATTTTTTACATTAAAGCCATGCCATTGCTTTTGGTTTTTGTTCTAGTCAAAGGTTCTAGTCAGTAGACCTATAAAATAGTGTTTATGGTTATGTAATGTCACTGTCTATGAAAAATCAGATTTTCGGGCCGGTAAGTGTATTACATAAACGGCCTACACACGTAACGATTTCGTACTGCGCGTTGAACTGCATATCGTAAAGAAAATCGTACGGCTTGCAGTACAGCCACTTTTTGTACAAACGATGCAACACATTGTACTGCCGCAGTTCAGATTATTCACTTTTCGTCGAGAAGGGCTACCATTATGTCAAGAATTTCAAAGAAGAAAGCTGCCGTGCCTGTAGCTGCCCTATTGCTGATAGATGAAGATGATGAACAAAAAGAAATCAAAAAGCGAAAATGGTGTAATTCACATCCCATAGGCATCTATTTTCTCTATATAAATCAATAAAGTCTTCCCAGAACGTCTTATTTTTTAAATCCATAATATTGATTAAACCAAAAATAAATACAACCCAAAACCAATCCCGAAAAGTTTGGGTGCAAACCCCACCCCAGACACGACCCGTTGATACGATATTTTACGGAAGCTCCGTACTGCAAACGATTTGACGACTGCATACTGCAAATCATCCAATTTCCCCACACACGCTACGATTTATCCTTAATGCGGCAGTTTCGATGGATATCGTACTGCATGCAGTACGATAAATCGTTACATGTGTAGGCCGTTATAGACAAAGGAAATAAATTTAGATTGGAAAGCTCGGCTTCCCGCTAAAACGTATAATTGTTTTTGGTCGCATACGTTGTACTGGCGCTGCTATAGCGGTTGTTAAGAACAATCGCAAACAAGAACAGAAAGAATATTCTCTTGTCAAAGTCAGAATCTTCAAATATTGTAAAGGCTACGTATAAAGGCTTTTAAAATTTAAACCGCCCTCATTGAAAAAATACCGAGAAGTGTTTAAAGCGTCCATTTTCAAAGCAATTATTGCTATCTTGTGAATTTAATTTAAATTTTATTTACTGAAACCCGTGATAATTGTGAAAAAGTGGCATTAAAAACTTAAAAAGTTGTTTGAACTGTGAACTGCAAAAACCATCGTGGCGTGGTATAACGTCGCCGTCGGTTTCCAATGTTTCATAGGTATTTCATACGTGTCCGTATATAAAATAAAGTTTCTTATGTGCAACACACTGTATTTTATTTAAAAAATTAAAAGAATATAATAAATTTGAATAAACAATATTTGGCGACATAATTTAAAGCCGGCAAAAACCGAACCGCTCCGAAATTATCAAAAGCTTTAGGTCGCGACCGAAACAAGAATAGCGCCAAATAGTATTTACATTGTCCTTATGGGCACTTTCCAATCTAAACTTGTTTCATTTATCTATGGTGTATAATTAATGTAGTTGGAATCTTATACAGGTTGTTAATTTGTAATAAACAAACTAACGCGGCAAGAGCTTTATGGTTGAAATACGGCAACCTCAGCCCGCTCGTCGATAGACGACGCGACGGGACGAGTCGGCAGAAAATTGAGAAAACCCTATAAGTGCATGCGTTCTCAATAGGCAGTGTTGCCATTCTGTTCCCCTATAAGTAACTGTCCAGTTAACAACCTATATACTGTAAGTAGGGTATACTTACAATGGGATTTCATCCTTTTCATTAGCAATTTTTGATAACTTAAATTCTTTCATAGCTGGCCATACCTAAGAACCAAAAAAATGCCATTTAATAATTTACCCATAAGAAAATAATTTCCTATATAACCTGTTGATAAAAATAAATTTCTGTTTTAAAGAAATCTTTCGATCGAAAGGTCTTTTGTCTGGCAATATTTTTTGGGAAACATTTTACAATAACAGGCAAAGATACATCTGCGTTTTCTCCCCTAAAAGTAAATGCATTCAATTTAGCCAGTGACTGTGATAAAATAGTTTTTACGACAGATAGTTCTACTCAAGTAACTCTTCCTAGTTTCGCCATTTAACATCGATCGTGATACCTAGGTTTCTGCTTATTATAAGTAAGTCATTTATCAATAGCGTTTGCTTTGGGTAGTTGTAAATTAATCTATTTTTGACCTGTGTTCTACAACTCCTTTATGTAAAGGAGTTGTACGTATTTAAGTATTATGTTACGTAAGAAACGTCTGCGCAGAATTTCATACTTCTATAACCGATTTTAATAAATGTTTGTTCCAATTTTTACCCTTATTTATTAGGGTAAAACTAGACAATTTTTTCGAAAACAATTTTAGCAGCGCCATCTATAGTATTATATTACACCTAATTAATTTAATATACCGTATGTTCGAAAAATAACGATTCCAAGTTAACTTAAAAATGACGATCGATAACATTTTCTTTGTAAAGTTATATGGTTAATGTCATCAATAGTCATTTTTAAGTTAACTTGAAGCCGTATTCTTCGATCATACAATATTTAAATTAGGATGATTTTATGCCAGATAATTTGTTTCAAGTAAATTTAAAGAAACGTCTTATACAATATATTTTTTAAAAAATATGTTGTAAAAGATGTTTCATTTAATATACTTGCCAAACAAATTATCTAGTCTATAATCGTTTACACATGCGGTAAAAATCACATTACAATATTTTCTATACCAAAATCAAAAAGTACTACCAGATTTAACTTAATAATAGGTGTATGATTAATAACACATGTGAATTGATTATATACCAGATATGACAAGGAAGTTTATAATAAAAATCATTTATTTTTTGTTATAAATTTTTATTTGTTTTTTTTTATTCTTTTTTTGTAGATTTCAAAATTTTACAATACAAATGCGGCTGATAAAATATATAGTCAACTAAAAATTAAACATTACAATTATTGCTCGAATAAAATATATACAACTATTTTTGTATTCTTTTTGTTTTCTAAATTTCTATATCTAGGTGTAATACTAAAGTAGTACCGTATGATCGAAAAAACGGAGTCAAGTTGGGTTGGAAATGACGCGATCGATGACATTCCTCAGATAATTTTACATATAGAGAGAGAATGACAGCGATATTCATTTCATAGCCAACGGTGACGCCGTTTTTTTTTTCGATCATATTGTACCATACGATTACGAAAAGCTGCATCAAGCTACCTTAGAAATGACAATTGATGGCATTTAAAATGTAAATTATATTAGTAAATCTAACCAATTAATGAATATCAATCTTCCTTATCATCGCTAGCCATTTCCAAGGTACAATTAACCTAACCTAACCTAGCTTTTATCGAGCAGGTTATAATATTATAAACTAATTTCTAGGTACTTACATATAAAGAATAATTCACTCTAAATGGACACACAAAATAAAAAGTTTTTAATTGAAAATAATACACTATAAGGTAATGGTGTGGATCCGGTGGCTGACCTTGAAACGAGTTTTTGCTGCATATAGTCACAGACACTACGCATGTGCACATCTTCGATGTTGCCAGATTGCAAGTTATTTTTGAATTATTTTCAGTAGAAAACAAATATATGCTTTTCAGTGTTTTTTTGTCAACATATACCGTATGATCGAAAAAACGGCGTCCAGTTGGCTGGGAAATGACGATCGTTGTCATTTTATATGGGATTATATTAATATTATTTTAATATTTCGCACAACACGTGATTTTCATAGTCAATAAAATTAAACAGATATAAAACTCTAGATTCTCATAATAAATCTAATTGCTCTAGATTATTATGCTACGTTTAAAAAGTGTTTTATTAAAAATTCGGGAAATTAAAAGGGACGTGTCCAATTTTTTTTTATTTTTTTATTTTTATATGCTGTAGCTCCATGTCATCAGATGTCATATTCATAATAAGCTTTTTTAACATTCCATCAAAACTACGGAGGCCTTAAAAGGCCTTTTAGCCTCCTTAATTAAAACTGTAGAATCAGCTTCAGCAACATTAACAGTTACCTTGTTTAATTCTGCTTATACATATATTGCATTAATTTTTCTGCTACCTTAAGATTTCTCTATTCTTACCTTACACCTAATTTATATGATTTTCTTAGCATATATGATTTATAAACCATATTTAGTCTTAATTTGTCTTGTATAAACATAGGTATAAACTAATAAGATCAAAACTCAACCTTCACCATATTGTCAAGATTTGGCATTATAGGAAACAAAGAAATTACAGTAAATTAAGAAAAGAATATCAAGGTACACGATATGAAATACTGTAATGTATTCTTTCTACGACACAAACCATCTACCCTTCTAAAGAGAAAAAAGATAAAAACGTAAAGCTTATTCAGCTTATTTTAGTCTTATCTGTTACACTCTTTCGATAAAATATATGTCTAACATTGCTATTAATCCACTAACTTGATATTTTTAAGAAATTATGAGACAAACATTATAATCAAAGTATATTATATTAGTAACATTATAGCACAGATTATAGGTAAAATGTTACCTCTATCTCATTGACGTGTATATTGTTCTATAAGACTCGTCATGGTATTACTTCAATACAAAAAATCAAAACTATTGTTGCCTGTAAAACTAGGAATTAAATAACTTGAAAGAAATAAAATAATTCTAATAAGTTTAAAACCATTAAGAAAAAATCCGTAAATGTAAATATATATAATAAATGTTATCATTAGTACAATTTTATATATTCATTATACTTTCATTTCACAATCTTCATTATACTTCTTACCTTAATTTTGGATATCAAGATAAATCTGAAATTATGAAATTAATTATAGAATTTGTATTATTATTGATTAACACTCAAACAGAAATTTTTCAACTGCAAATAATTCGAAAATAAACTGCAATTTGGCAACATCGACGATGTGCGCTTGCGTAGTATCGATGATCAAATGCAGCAAATATGGGCTTCAAGGTCAGCCACCGGATCCACACCTTTACCCACTATAAAAGGCCGGGCACACAACATAAAACGTCTTTACTTTGGGAATGAACACTACGACACTTACAGCCCCAAAACACATACCTCACAGCTCCAGACAAACTTAGGCACTGATGCACAAAACACATACACAAGAAGAAGTGCGAGCGCCTTGCTAAATATTGGAAAGTGAAATTGACGTTTAAATTTGACACTGTTGACAAGTCTACTGCTACTAGCGCCCCCAATTTCGCTTGTAGGAACTATGGACTAGATTGTCACGCATGGCGGGAAGTTTAAAAAAATAAAAAATTTTAATTCTTCATTTATTTTTAATTATGACATACATAAAAACACAAAAATACACCATTTTTTAAAAATATGTTTAATATCAATATCAAATATACAACAGAAATTAATTTCACCACAATAAATTAATAAAATTAAAAGAATAATGTTACAAGTAGATCAAGAGACAAAATTAATTATAACAAAACTGAAAACTATGGCGTCATAGATGGCTTAGAAATGAAGATATATATCATAATTTTGAAAAGTAAAATTATATGGGAAATGTCATCGATCATCATTTTAAGTCAACTGGACGATTATTTCAAACATACAAGCTGAGTTCGTTCATAGTGCTCTGCGAAATCTAGATAAACAAAGAATAATAAATTAAAAGTATTCCAGGGGAAACGAGAGGAAAAACCTGTATCGTCTCTGATATCTGTCAGGGTATTGTTGAAAGTGTCATCTTTTTGCTCGAAGTTTTCAGGTCGATCGAAAAGATGACATTTACAACAATACTTTGCCGTAACTTTCACAAATATCAGAGAGAGGTAATATAGACAGGTATTGCCTCTCTTTTCCTCTGGGATAGTTTATATCTGTTGTTCTTTGTTTATCTATATTTCTCGAGTGCCGACAGTATATAATTTCAATATCCTAAGTGGAAAGAAAAAAGGTCACCTTTCTGTTTTGTACTATGATCCCTTTCTTCCGATGGCTCATTGATATTTAGGAAGGTATGCATAAAATATATATTTTACTATCTGAAAAAATATAAAATTCAATTTGATTTGATGATCCTTTTCTGTCACCTAAATCAGGAGAATGACAATGAGCATGTTAAGATGAAAAAAAATTATTTATCAACACTTACCTACACGTTAGTTCGAGAAGTTTTATCAAAAACCTATATTTGCCTAAATAATTTATGTATTAAATTTGCAAAGCAAACTGCAGCTTGTAAACAAAAGAAATAAAATGGCGACAAGTCAACGTCAACGACCCGACAAGGAGAAAAGTGGTATTCGATTAACAAATTATGGGTCACCAAAAATTGTTTTTGTCTCCTTTCAACGCACACTTTAGAAAGAAAAAGAAATGAACTGTAATACTGAAAGAACGTCAAGGTTTTATCTGTCACTCTTGTCAATAATTTATCGGTAAGGAAGATTCCTAGAAAATCGCTTGTAGTCAAGTTTTCAACCATTGCCAGTTCTCCCATAAGAAGTGTCATCCACCTGCACTGATGGCTGCCGGGAAAAATGACGAAATATTATGATGAGACGGGTGGTGGGAAGAAACTTTTCCTTCCCTCTTAAGCCGGAGCAAAGAATATTATAGTTTTAAGAACTCTCGTGTGGAAGCTTTAGTGATTTGTCACACGGTGGCGCTTTTGAACATAATCGAAGCCTGAAAATGCTAATATTTTAAATTTTGAGGACTACGCGCGGCGATATTTCGTACGGTGTTGCCAAAACATATTTTATTTCTTGATATTTAAAGAAATATGTATTGATTATATATTTCGTATTCGTTAGTACATGAGGCATCCTAAGGCTATAAAAACGTAGCTATGAATATAAAATTTTGGATTTTTAATTTTTTTGTACCTTCTAATAAAAATTACTTCTATTCCAATAAAAAATTAACTAGTATGATTATGTGTTATCTGTGCTAGTATTAGGAAACTGGAGTAAATACGGAGAATATTAATTTGTTCTCTAAGATGAGTACTACTAAGTAATTTTTTAAAATTCGACCCATAAGGGGGTGTAATTAGATAAAGGGGTGTAATTATACAAAAAAAATCTGTATCTACTAGGAGTATGAACTTTTGCACAGATGTGGCACATTTGAACATTGATAAGCGATTTTTGGAAATGTATAGCCTAAGGGTAGTGAAAATGGGGGGTGAAATTTTGTACAAAAAATGTTAGTTCTAAGAGTATGAAATTTTGTACAGAGTTTCCTTAAGTGACGAAAGTGAGTACCCGGAAGCTAATTTTTGACATTCATCCCCTAGAAATAAGGGATGAAAATTTGTACAAAAGTTTGTTACAATCGGTTTTAGAAGTATGAAATTCTGCACAGACGTTCCTTATGTAACGTAATTTAGCACTAAGTAGCACTTTTTGGAAATTCGCCCTCTAAGGGTGTGAAATGAGGAGTGAACGTTCTGAAACAATTCTGTTGAAGGAATATGAAAATTTGCACAGAGGTTCCTTATGTAGCGTAATTGAATAATTAGAGTGATTTTTGGAATTCATTCCTTAAGGGGGTAAAACTAGGGGTGAAAATTTGTATAATTTTTATGTAAAATCCGTTCTAGGACTAGGAGTATGAAATTCTGTTCAGAGGTCCCTTAAATGATGAAAGTGAGTACCTAGAAGCGAATTTTAGGCATGCATCCACCAAAAAATAAGGGATGAAAATTTGTACAAAAATTTGTTAAAATCGGTTTTAGAAGTATGAATTTTGCAGACGTTCCTTATGTAACGTAATTTAGCACTAAGAAGCAATTTTTGGAAATTCGCCCTCTAAGGGTGTGAAATGAAGGGTGAACGTTCTGAAACAATAAAAATATTTTTTTTTCAAAAAATAAAAAAAATGGTGGTGGGCTACCCTTATCACTTAAGGATATAAAAATAGATAACAACGTATTCTCAGACCTACTAAATTTACATATAAAATTTCATCAAAATCGATCAAGCCGTTTCGGAGATGGTAACAAAAAATTTAAAAAAAACATCCCCTATTAAAAAATAGGGGATGATGGTAGAACGGTGAAAATTTAGGGTTGTTTGTATTTTTTATTGCCAAATAAAAAAATATTTTTTTTTCCAAAAATAAAAAAATGAGGGTGGGCTACCCTCTCGGCTACCCTTATCACTTAAGGGTATAAGAATATATAACAACCTATTCTTAGACGTACTGAATATACATATAAAATTTTATCAAAATCGGTCAAGCCGTTTCGGAGATGGTAACAAAAAACTTAAAAAAACAACCCCTATTAAAAAATAGGGGATGATGGTAGAACGGTGAAAATTTAGGGTTGTTTGTATTTTTTAAAGCCAAATAAATTTTTTTTTTTCCAAAAATAAAAAAATGAGGGTGGGCTACCCTCTCGGCTACCCTTATCACTTAAGGGTATAAAAATAGATAACAACGTATTCTCAGACCTACTGAATATACATATAAAATTTCATCAAAATCGATCAAGCAGTTTCGGAGATGGTCACAAAAAATTACCATCGGATTTCGGATGCATGAGACTCCGGCTTTACTCCGCCAACGTATTTTTAAATCGACAGTGGCGCCCTCTGACAGCAGGATTTGGCAATTCTTGTTCCAAATGCTGCCATTTAAGTTTTTGCACCGTGATGTTGACGTAATAAGGTAAGTGGCAATATAAATGTTTAGTATATAGTAACTGAATTTAGAAAGAACCCTTACCATAAAAGTGCGATGCCTTAATTTCTATTTTTAGCAGGTTATATTTTGTTTTTTATACATACAGGGTGTCCCACTTAAGATGGATACAAGCCAATATCTTGGTTGTTTGTTGAGCGATCTTTTTCATTTTTGGCAGGAGACTGTATGGCTATAAGACGTACATTTTGCCCAGGGTAAGAAATGCGATACCTCATAGACATACATTTTAATGGGGTTTGATATTTTTCGAGTCAAGGTACTTTCTAGTCTAACTACCCTTAGGACAGTATTTATTTCAAATCTGATAAATGGTATTGAATCCTCCTTACCTAAGATACTTAAGTTCTAATTTTTATAATTATTGATACAGGGTGTGTTATTAAAATAAGACATTTTTATTTTTATTATTATTTTTTTAAGTACTTACGACGTCACTGGATAAACAACTGGTTTATTATCAATAACCAGTTATATCCAATTATCAATTAATAATCGATTTAAATTTGGTCGAGGATGTTGACTGTTAGTTCGTTTTATAAGGCTTTGTTTAGAGCATATTTTTCAAAGTTAATAGTGATTGTTTTAAATAACTATTTGGATTTTTTAAAATATTCCTCAATAAAACGAATAAAAATCATATTTCAGATTCCATTGAAAACTGGGGTTTTAAATTATTTTGTAACTCATTTTATTCATTTGTATTAGCAAACTTAAAAAACAGTTTTTTAAAGTAAACAAAATAAATTGAAAATATTTAGTTTTTTTGTATCGTATCTTAATTATTATGGAAGTTATCTGAAAACTTAAATCGATTATTCATTGATAATTGGTTATTGATAATAATCCAGTTGTTTATCCAGGCGTCGTAACGATACAAAAAAACTAATAATAAAATAAATTTTGTTTACTTTAATAAACACCCTGTTTTATCAATATTTAATCAAAAAATAGAACTTAAGTATCTTGGGTAAGGAGGATTCAATATAATTTATCAGATTTGAAATAAATACTGTCCTAAGGGTAGTTTATACTCTGACCCGAAAAATATCAAACCCCATTAAAACGTGTACGTCTATGAGGTATCGCATTTCTTACCCTGGGAAAAAGGCACGTCTTATAGCTATACAGCCTCCTGCCAAAAATGAAAAAGATCGCTTAACAAACAACCAAGATATTGGCCTGTATCCATCTTAAGTGGGACACCCTGTGTATAAACATAAACTATATTTACGCTCTGAAAAGACGGTGTTCTCATTAATCCAAGTTTTGCCTACCGCTCAATAAATTATTTTAATTATAATTATATAAAGGCCACACTACCATAATAACGGACAAATCTTAAAAAGTTTTGTCACAATCTAAATAATTAAAATTATTTATTCCTTTAATTAATTTGAATTAAACTTGGCCTGTTTTTACTCAAATCAGCTTAATTTTATTAAAAAAATATTAACTTAGAATGATTTGACGGATTTTATTCTATATACTTGGAAAAAGTTGAATGAGAAGAACTATAGACGCTTTAAAAAATTATTGATTACTAATACCATTATTTCATTAACAAACTGAACTCCACTTACTTTTCATTTTCACCACTGGCTATTATGGAAAACTTGCAAATGTTGCTTAAATACGAATCTCCTTTTTTTGATGGTTTATTCTGGTCTACATCAATTTTTAATTTTTTTATGGTTTGTAATTCGCCTTTGTTTAAAATTTCGTGAATGGTTTTTTCGGTAAATGCTGGCGAAATGAGTTCATTTACATTTTTTAAAGACATCTTGATTATTAGAAATTATTTATTTGTTTGGTAAGTCGATTGGAGAAATAAAACACTATCAAATGCAGTAAAGATTTTGTTAAACAGATTTTATACCAGGCAAGGCAATTTAGCAACGAAAGAGGTTTAACCACGTCAGATATTAAAACAGATGATAATCCATGACAACGAAAACAGATACAGATAACCTAACATTTTGTTTGTATTTCTTTCTAAGTTTGTATTATTTGTACAAAAAATAGATAAGACTAATAATACTTTTTGATTTATGATAATTACTTTTTGATTTATGATAATGGTGTGTTTTAAGTGGCTGATCTTGAGACGTCTATCTGCTGCATTTGCTCAGACACTACGTATGCGTAGCTCATACATGTTGCCAGATTGTAGGTTTTAAGCATAGAACATAGAATAACTAACTGAAGTTAAGGTTTTAAGCAAAGTTTATTTAAATTTTACTAAAGCGGGAAATTCACACACGGGTTTGATTTACCCGGCGGGTACACCCCAAGATTTACCGGGTGCGTCTCAAAAGTGGTTCACCCCTATAATTTTTTTATTTTTTCAGATAAAACAACGAGATTTGGTATGTTAGTATATGACATAAATTAGGATTGATTGACATATTCAATTGTTTTCGGACTACAACTTTTGATTTTTAAATGAATCAGAGGCGCTATTTAGGGTTGCCAGACGTCCAGTATTTTCCGGGATCGTCCCGTTTTTTTATGTTTTGTCCCGCGTCCCGGGTAAGGTATTAACGGGACGCCATTTGTCCCGTTTTTCGCCTAAGTTCGAAAATCTTAAATTTAAAATTCAATTCCAATTTATAAATGAACTGTCAATCCAACTATGTTCAAAAAATAAATCTTTTTTAACATTCGTTTACGTAAAAATGCGTGTACCCTGAATTATTGCTTCTCCATGTGTTTTAATAGTCAATGGATTTTCGTTGGGAATTCGCCGAATTCGTTGTTCATCAGCGTTGTTACAAGGGCAAAAAATTTTGTACTATAAAATTTTTGGTGGAAAAATGTGGGGTGGTAGTGCAAGTGCACCAAAAAAAACAAAAAAGATTGTGTTTGTACTGAAGCGAATGGGAAAAGAACAACAGTTTTAGTACATGGTTGCGTAAGTCCTACAATAACCCAAATAAGGCTTTCTGCAAAGTATGTTGTAAAGAGTTTTCCATTGGATATGGAGGGGAAAATGACTTAAAGCAACATGCATCTTCTAAGAGTCACAAGGAAAATATAATTAAAGTAAAGCAAAATAATATGATAGGTACTTTTTTAAAGAAAACAGAAGAGGTTGAGCCGCTAAATCTTCAAGTTATTGCTGCCGAAGTTACACATGCTTACCATATTGTTTTTCACCACCAATCCTATTTATCCAATGATTGTATGTCAAAATTATTTCCTATCCTGTTTCCTGACTCAAAAATAGCCAATAGTGTTGCATGTGGCCGCACAAAGGCAGAAGCTATCATTAAATCTGTTCTAGCTCCAGCATCACTTGAATTTGTCAGAGTATTAAAAGAAGGAGATACCTATTTTTCCATTGCATCAGATGCATCAAACATTGGCACCGCAAAGACGTGTCCTATTTGTGTGAGATTCTGGAGCATTAAAGATGGGATTCAAAACAAGTTGCTTGATTTTTATGAAGATCCGAATGAAACCTCAGACGCGATATCAGGTCAAATATTGAATAGACTTGCAAGTTTTGGACTGAAAATCGAGAGAGTTAGTGCGTATAGTGCGGACAATGCTAGTGTTAATTTTGGCATTCACCATTCTGTATACCAGTCTTTAAAAAAGCGCAATCCTCGATTATTAACAGCCGGCTGCCCGGGTCATATGTGCCATAATTCTGCCAAACATGCTTGTAATAAATTAAAAGTTGACGTGGAAACTGTAATTATTAAAATATATAACTACATAAAAGGAAGTGGACATTCAAAAAGAGTTAAGGAGTTAGAAGAAATCTTCGAGTTTTTAGAAATGGAATATGAACCTTTGCTTCGTCATGTGACCACTAAGTGGCTCACTCCTCCCGCACTCGACCGATTAATCAGTTCTTGGCCAGCGGTAAAAAGTTTTTTTCTTTCCTTGGGAAATGACAAATGCCCTGCAACTCTTTGGGAAGTGTTTAAAGATGATGAAAATGGCGAATCTTCTGTTGTTACAAAAACGGAAATATATTTGTATTTTTTGCAAAATGCTCTACGTATATTCCAAGAAACAATATTATTACTTGAAAAATCAGAAGTTACATCATTTGAATTGTATTCCATTATAAACTTGTTAAAGCTCAAATTAAGGCAACGTAGAGATGATGCGTTTTTTGGTTACAAGGCAGGCGTTGCACTCAAAAAAATGACTCCTCAGCAAAGGCCAATTACCACAAATGACTTTTTGTGTTTATACAATACGGCTATAAACTACCTTAATAAATGGTTTTCTTTTGATGAAACTAGTTATTTGTACAAAATAATACCATTAGCTTTAAGGGATGATGACTCTGACATTACTTTTTCACTTTTAATGGAGATAGTAGAAATGCTACAGCTAGAAATCGATCTTGATGGTTTATATGAAGACTTTAGTTGTATTAAAGTTATAATTTCTTCAATAAGAAAGACGCCTGGAAGTGTCAACGAAAAATGGTTATGCATATTCAAAACGAATGAAAAACTTCCCCATCTCCAAAAACTGTTGGAGTTTCTATTTAGTATTCCAGTAAGCAACGCAGAAACGGAAAGAAGTTTTTCATTGATGAACACTGCCTGGCGTGATGAAAGAAATCGTTGTTTACCAGACTTAATTAAAAGCGAATTGCTAGTGAAAATTAATTTTAAGTTATCATGCAAGGATTTTTATAATAAAATAAAAATGATAAAGATCTACTTATGAATGCGCGCTTAGCTAGAAAATATTGAAGACATTGTTAATTAACTTTGATAAGATTAATGTGAGGGTAAATGTTTACGTTTTATTTTTTATAATCTGATGTTAAAAGTTCATATAATATATTTTTTAAACTTGTCCCGTTTTTTTCCTGCTTGTCCCGTATTTTTGGCTTCTTTTTCAGCTTCAGTCCCGTTTTGAGCTAAACCAGATCTGGCAACCCTAGCGCTATTCTGTACACGGCATCGACAATCGTCGGTATCGGTAAGTTACGACAGCTCTCGATACGTATTTATTGTATACAGGGTGTCCCAAAAATAAGTGCAAATATTTTAACTGGTACAATAATTACACATTGCAATAGTTAAATTGTGCTTAATAATTAAAAAGTTTCATAATAAAAAAATGTATTAAGTATACAATTGTAGCATTTTATTTAAATTACACATAATTTATATAAATGTACAGAATTATTTTATTTAAATAAATCAAGTTTAAGTCCTCGCACCGAGATGGCATTCTAAGTACTGCTATTGTCTTTTATTTTTTTCCAAGTTTATTTCTGGCGAAATATTTCAGTCCGGTCGAAGTTTGTGGTCACTTTATGTCTGACGGTGTATAGCCACACGTAAAGGCTCAAACCGCTGGAGCTATCGGCGTTTGTTGGCATTTTGCCAATTTGTTTGGGAAAACCCTCTGAGCAGAGGTAAGACTTTTATTTTAAACGTAACGTTTCCTAATACCTTTTTTTATTTGTACAGGGTTTTATTTTATGGTACGCATTTGGTTTAATGGTAGCATTTTCTGGTGCCATTTTGTTTTTTGTACCTGACATTTGGGCCACGTTTTGTCCCTACAATTCACACCGGGAATAACGGAGGAATCTCCTGAATCCACAGCAGTTTAGGGTCCTGTCTGTGTAGAGACGTTTTTATCACAATCCAGTTCCAGTAGCAGTTCACCACAACCAGCTTGTGACCAGAACAGATAAAAAAGGCCAGATCATTTCTTTTTATATAATTTTAATTCACTTGAATGCATTAAGCCCTTCAGGCATATTATATATTTGATTACTTTAGAGTCACTTTGAAATATTTTATTCATGTTATGCATATTTCTGATATCTACATAGTTCTGTAAAACTTGGAAAATAAGTTCGTCATAATAATGCTTTTATTTATTCGCATTATATATTCGCCACACGAATAATTAATAAAATATTAATATTCAGAAGCGTGCAGATTTAACTACCATCTTGAGTGATCTATTTTGATACATACTATTTACCAACAAACATTTTCAAACATCAAATTTTTCATAGTCTTATTTTATTCTAATTAACATTAAATTATTAATTATACTTAGTTATTAGTTTATCTCAGCGTTCATTTGTGTAATTCCTAAAATAAGTAATACCTATATTCTGAGTTGATTTCTCAGTTCTCAACTTAGAAGTTTTCGAAAGTAAATGGAAAACTGAGTGGCGCCCAGTATATTATAAAGACGTAAGTATCACAATTTAATTTTCACTAGCTTACGACCCATTGCTCACCGGCGAACAGTTCCGTCGCATAGTATTAGTTGTTTTAATATTTTTCCCAAAAGAAAATTCTTATAAAAAAACATTCCATCTTTTTTTATAACTTCTAATGCTACACAATATTAAAAAAAATTAAAAAAGTGTTTTTAAAGAAATTACTAACTAAAAAAAATATAATAAAAAAGCTTCTCTATAATTTTAACGATTCGTTCATAAAACACCAACCCACAAATCTCGTCGGCTGCTCATGGAGGCTGAGAACTGAAGTTTAGATTGTAGTATCCACCTTCACATCATAAACCTAACGAATGCAATACACATGCCTCCCATTCCCTGCACTTTGAAAAGCTCTTCGTTTTGGTAAGCTGTTTCTAAACTCTTGCGTCCTTAGGGAGTTATGTTTGCCATCGGTGTAGGCTGACAATAGAAACAAAATTCCAGTATGATTTTGTTTGTCATCTGGATTGGCGTCGAATTCATCTTTCGAAGAGGGAACTAGTTTTTAAAAACAATAACTCTTCCTGTAGCTGCTTACCAATCTAAATATTGACAGCACGTTTTGAACCCATTTTTGAATTGGACTACTTGCTTCGGACTGCATTACCATAGTGTACTGTTCACAAAGCTTCATAAACAAGGGTAGGCAGTTTGCATCGTATAG